CAAATATAGTTGCACAGGACAAGCAGTGATTGGCTAGTCAATACTTTTCTTTTTAAAGTTGTACATCCCTCCTGAATCATATTTTTCTTTTGAGCCATATCCTAACTTTTAGCAATTTATGTTTCTTCTGGTGTACAGAATTGGCCATGCTGTCCGCTACCACGAACTGAAGGATGGCCTCTTTATCATAAATGAACTCTTTCTCCTAAAAGATATCCCCATCAACTGTAATTAAAAATTAAAAAATTTAAAAGCTGTCCCCAGGTTAGTATTTTTTTCTTAATGTTTCTTGTATCTTCTGAGAGAGAAAACTGTTATCAAAAATTTAAGTAATTTCGTGCTTTGTGAAGAACAATAATTTTGTACCTGCACAAACAGAATTATACTCTTAGGAATGGAAAGGTTCTTAAAAGTCACAAAGTTGGCCCTGGCCAGTTTGGCTCAGCGGTTAGAGCATCAGCCTGTGGACCAGAGAGTCCCAGGTTTGGTTCCAGCTAAGGGCATGTACCCCGGTTGCAATTTTTCCCCAGCATCGGTTGTGGTAGTGCGTGTGGCAACCAGTCGATGTGTCTCTCTCACATCGATGTCCCCCCCCCCCCCCCCCCGCTTCTCCCTCCTGCTCTATCTGAAGATAAATGCAAAAATGTCCCCAGGTGAGGATTAAAAAAAAAAAAGTCACATAGTTGAATTTCCCAACCAATATTTGAGTTGCTAGAATTGGAATGACAAGTAATCACACATGTGCTCTTTCTGCTTTTGTGGCCAATGGCAGGCACTGTTAACACTCTTTCTGCTGAACCTGAACTCAGCCTTGGACTCCTTCTCTCCAGTCACTCTCTAGCCAGCTAGTACCAACAGTTAAGAACTGCACCCCTGCCAAGCAGTCATTAGCCTATTCCCTTAAATTTCTATGTAGTGGGAATGAATGCATCACTTCCCAAAAGTTGCCTCTTCCATTTCTAAATAATTCCATCCGCTAGAAAGTTCTTCCTTATATGGAACTGAAATGCAGGTCCCTGTATGTAGCTTCTACCCACTGGTCCTATTCCTGAGACCACAAGGAACAAATCCAAATCTGCTTTCATAAACAATTCTTCCAGTACTTGAAGACAAGTCTCTTCTGCTCCAATCTTGTCTTCTTAAAGTTAGTAACAACAGTATAAGTTCCTCTAATCACTTCCTGTGTTCCTTCGCAATTTTGGTCATTCTCTGAAAGTTTTCCAGATTGTCTCAAGGTGTGGCATCCTACAGTCTGCTCTGAACTGTCTAGTACAAACAGCCTCTATAAACAGGTAGCACATAGTTGAGCTCTCTTGACTTTTTTTTTTTTTTTTTTAAATAGCAAAACAGAGTCAGACTTCTAACCATGACTGATTTAGTCAACCAATACCTGAAAGTTGTCCTTGCGACCCACACAGACCAAGTCCCAATCCACTTCCATAAAAGACTCTTCCACTACTTGCAGACCAGTTCTTTAGCCAGTCTGTCAGAACCATGTTCTAGCTATACTCCCTGGAGCTTCTGAAATCAATGATGACTGCAGCTGTCTCCTAGAAGGCCTAAGTGCCCTCCTCTGCCCACCAGTTTCTGGGACTAATTCTATTGGCATTTCAACCTAACTGCCATGATCCAAGTCAAGCAATAATCTAATTGGCCTCTCTGCTTTCATTGTCTCCCTATGTCTAGTCTCAACATAGCAGTCAGAGCAGTACTATTAAAATACAAACCACATCATGCCACTTTTCAAAATCTTGCTCTGGTTTCCCATTTCACTGCACCCCCTCACCCCAATGATCTGTTCATCTCCTACTACTCTCCCTTAGTTCACACAGCTCAAGCTACTTTGGTCTCCTTATTTCTTCAACGTGCCCTGCATCCTGACTGAGGACTTTGCAGTGGCTGTTCTTCCTGCTTGGGACTCTCTGAATCAGCATGCTGAGCTCTCTCACCTCCTTTGTATCTGCTAAATGTTGCCCAGGCCATCCTCTGTAATTCTACAACTTTCTTCCACCGCACCCTTACCAACTCCCAAACCCCTTCCCCCTGTTCTTTTCTTTTCCAGAGCACTTATGGTGCTCTAGGACAACTGATCGTTTTGTCATTTATGCTCATTGTTCACCATCAGTCTCTTCCTGCTAGACTGTGAGCCCTGTGAGGGCAGCAATTTTTGGACGCAATGGCTATCACAGAGCAGATGCTTGCTAAAGATTTACTGTCAGTGCCGGGCCTTGTGGCAAGCTTAGACCTAATATGCACATTATGTCTTCATCGGCACTGGTCGTTACTCAAACATAAGCCCTTCCCTCTAGTCACTCATCTTCTCCTGTACTTTTTTGTTTTTAAAATCCTCACCCAAGGATATTTTTCCATCCATCTTCAGATTGAGTGGGAGGGAGGGTTGGAGAGAGTGGGAGGGAGGGTTGGAGAGAGGGAGAGAGAAAGAGAGGGAGAGAGAGAGAGAAATATTGATGTGAGAGACACACTGATTGGCTGACTCCTGCATGACTTTGACCAGGGCCATGGACTGAACTGCAACTGAGGTACATGCCCTTGACTGGAATCAAACCCGAGACTCCTTGGCCTGTGTGCTGACGCTCTAACCGCTGAGCCAAACTGGCCAGGGTTGCTGTACTTTTAAAAAAAATCCTCACCTAAGGATATGTTTTTTTTTTTTAACTGACTTTTTGGAAAGAGAGAAAACTGATGTGAAAGAGAAACATCAATGGGTTATCTTCTCTACATGCCCCAACTGGGGATGGAACCTGCAAACTAGGTATGTCCCTGACTAGAAATCGAACCAGTAACTTTTAGTGTACAGGACAATGTTCCAACCGACTGAACCACCCAGCCAGGACTTCTGTACTTTTTTCCTCATACTGCTTTGTGCTTTCTCTCCCGTTGTCCAAACTCCTGTTCTTCACTCCTTCCCATATCCCACAGCCTTTTTGAATCCCTATTTCATGGTTAAGGATCCCTCCATTCTCAGTCCCTGTGCTGAATCCTTCTTCCTTCCTTCCTTTTTTTCCCCTTTATTGATTTTTAGAGAGAGAGAAAGGGACAGGTGGGGAGAAATGGAAACATCAATGAGAGAGAACATCGACTGGCCGCCTCCTGCATGCCCCTGCCTGGGGATTTGGCCCACAACCTGGGCGTGTGCCCTGACCAGGGATTGAACCAGTGACCTCTTGGTGCATGGGTCGATGCTCAACCACTGAGCCACACCGGCTGGGCCAGCCTTCCTTAATTGAAATCTGGCTCTCCCATTGGGACTCGGATTCCCCTGGATGCTTTGGAAATAAAGGCTGCTTGCTCATTCTTCATTTCTTGGCTATTATTCCTCCTATCCTCTATTCTTAAGCCAAAAGCTCTGCTCACATGAGGCTGGTACCAGCTTCTTCTCTCCATATAGCTGCTACCTACTGCCTTCCATGCTGCCTCCCTTTATTGGAGCATTTGGCTTACATCTTTCTCCACGGCAGGGCTTACATGATGCCCATGTGAATGGCCCACCTGTGGCTTCCAGCTCATTAACTGGCTCAGTCACACTGACTTGCACTCACATCCATATCACCTTGGTCCCCCTACTTATGGCCAAATCCAGACGACATTATCACTGAGATCTGTTCTACGTTTGGCATCTTTAGTCTAGATACACCTTTCTATAGTCACAATCTCTGTTACTTGCACTATTCTGATTCTTTGATCTCATTAAAACCCCTCTTCCCCTGACTCCTCTGCATAATCCTTTCTTACAGTCTCTTGAAAGTTCTTCTTTCTTGACTTAGTTTAGACACCGAGATCCATTACCTCCTGTGAGCAGCCACTCGAGTCTCCATGGATTTTTGTACTGCTCTATATGGTCTAGTTAAGTAAATCTGAAATAGTGCAACCTCTTCCTCCCTTCCCCCCAAAATACTTAATGTAAGAATGGAAATAATATGAATTCCCTACATTTAAAGAATTGTCAGGAATAAGGTTATAGCTGGAGCGTCCAGTGAACTGTAATTAGTTTCTAGGCTATTGCCACACGGTGGAGGCATTTTAGCCAATAAATAGAAACACCTGCCGTCTTTGTGAGTCTTGCTGCTGTTTATGTATGCTGGATCTTCTGTGAGTGGCTCTGATGGCTGTTGTTTTACAAACTCTGTCACTGTAACCGAAAACATTTTCATATCCTATAACAATATCTTTCAAGTGTTCATTAAGCACTGGTTTAGTGATAGTGCTGAAAAACACAGCCCCAAACAGTAAGTCTAGAACAGAGTTAGTTGTGATGAAACACTATGAAGAGACCAAACATCCATTATGATGCCCTGTGTTGTTAATTGATGAGTGAGTACTTTACAATATTTAGAAAGTAATGTAGGAAAAAATGAAAATGTAGTATTAAAGTAAAAATATGGTATGATGTTGTGTACATTCATGCATCCCCCCAAACCATGACCTGTACATTTTTTCCTATAAGAAAATTAGTCTTGAAGTATACATTTCATATCATGAGATCTCTTCAGGAACATATCTAACACACAGTGTAAATGTCTTCTTACAATACAATATTCCCCCTACCTCTTTCATGAAATGCTCCTCTCTCCACACATATACCCAAGCGTACAGCAAATAGTGTGGTGATTATGAGCAGGGGTTTGGGAGCCAGATGGCCTGGATACGAATTTCCCATTTTCATAATTTTCTGGTTTGATGACTTTGGGTAAGTTACTTACCTTCTCAGTTTCCTCATTTGAAAAATTAGGATGATAACAGTACTGACCCCTACATTAAAGGGTTGTTGTGAGGATCAAGTCCTTTTGCTACTTTTTGAAAACTGTGAGCACCCTTCTTCATCACAGATCTGTGTATCAATATACAGCAGAGCAGCAATATTTAGGGAGCCTTTTCTAGTGCAAGTACTGGGTAAGTGATATGATTCTGAGTAGAGCCTTCTCAGAACTAATACTTACATCAAGGGATACAGCAGTATGCGTTTCATCTGCCAGCCTTACCTTTAGCCTGTCTTTGGGCAGAGCGACAATTCCTTGCTTGATGATTTCCAGGACCCGTTCCACTGACAGCTCAGCTCCAGCCTGTAGCAACCTGGAGTTGAAGAAGGTAATCACCTGGAATGTAAAGTGTTATTTTTTAAACAAGTAGATGTAGGAGATGTTATTTTCAGTGACCTGGCTTTTCATTCACTAGCCTTCCTAAATACATCCTCTCTATCAAGAGTTTAATGTCTGGCCCCGGCTGATTTGGCTCAGTGGTTAGAGTGTCAGCCCACTGATCGAAGGGTTGTAGCTTTGATTCCCAGTCAAGAGCACATACCTGGATTGCAGGTTTGATCGCTGGCCCTACTTGGGGTCGTGCAGGAAGCAACCAATTGATCTCTCTTTCTCTCTCTCTCTCCTTCCCTACCTTCCACTTTATCTTAAAAAAAAAAAAAAAAAAAAAATCAATGGAAAAATATCCTTGGGTGAGAAGTAACCCCCCCACACACACACACACAAAAAGAGAGAGAGAGAGAGAAGAGTTTAATGTCTGAGTCACAGCCAATTCCTGAATATTCATGACTTATTATCCATTCAGTGAATTAAGCAGGCTCCTGAATTCTGCTCTTGTGCTGCCTCACCTTGCATTTATATTTCATTTAGAGAATAGCAACCATCAGAGGTGGAAAAAGAAAGCTCGAGCTTAAAAGCTATTAATATTGAAGTTTTATAGTAACTCTCAAAAAGAAAAAAAGAAAAGAAAGGCTTATTAATAAGAAAGAAATTTGATGCTAAAATGATGTTTTGGGCAGTATTTATAAATTTAAATTTTCCACAACACTTGTATCCCTGATCACCAAGGATAATCAACAGCAAGCTATAATTACTTCTGTCTCATGTGACAGCACAGCCTGAACTATGCAGTGACATTGCGGACATAATACTGTCCCTTAATATTTGTCACAAAACACTAAAAGAATGTCATCCTATCTTAGCAAATCATTTTAACATCATCGAGTTAATAAATCAAGATACTTGTAGATCCCTTGTTATTTAAGAACATTACACTTGAGTGTTTATAGTCAGACAAGCAAAAAGTAAAAAACTTAGGCTTTTAAAAAAAAGTTGAATATTTCCACTTAGATGTTTTCTATTTTCTATTAAGTTGCTAATAATTATTTGCAAACATTTTTATATGTTTACATTCAAGATTACTCTCCTAAATGTTAATTGTTCAAGACTACAACTTTTTTCCCTAATCATTCTAGTAGAAAGAGCACAACATGACAAAATTACCCCTAAAATGCATTATTCTGAAAAGTAAAGAGACCCAGGACCCTAACAAGCATGTGCTTTGAGAGCCGGTGGTAGTGAGGGAAAACAAAGCAGCTGATGGCTGGCTATGTGGCGATTTAGTCCGGATAAGAAATATATCCCAGGCAATCTGTTGGCACCAGCTCCTTTGCAAGTTGCTTATTTTGTCTATAACAGGTTGCTTTTTCAGCATATATCTATGGGTCTTGTTTTTTCCCTAGTCATGTTTTAAGCACTTTGGGGGAATTCTGGGATAAAATTCTATTCAGAGTTTAGACCCAGCATGTACTCAAATTGATTTTTTTTCAAAATGATTTTTATAACACAGTGATTAAGTCTTTGAAGATAGACACAACATAAGTAGAAAACATATTGCAATAGTTATATTAAAATCTTATTTTAAAATACACAACAAAGATGCAAACTAAACACCTTCCTCTTGTATAAATATCTGTGTTTTAAACAATGTTCTTCTGAGAAAGAAGTTGATTAACCATATGAAATGCCATTTTTATTGGTAAAAAAAGGAAAATGGTTGAAAACTGGTAATTTCATGTAATTGGTTCAGCCTAATATCTTTGCATAAAATTCTCTTCTCTGATAAAAAATATTTAAATAATAGGAACATATTTGTTAAAAACACATTCTAAGAAATAAAAAATGTCAATGGAAAAGCACATAGATTTTATGGATGCTTGAAGCTTATAGATTATTCCCCCCCCCTTCTAATATTTACCAAATATGGCCATTTTCACTATTGAATGATTTTTAGCTTTTAGCAGTAGATAATGTAGACAAGGAATAGTTCTCAAAGATGGCTAACCAACAAAAGTAGCCAGGAAGCTTTGTGAAAATACTGATCCACAAGCCTGTCCAGAGACCTTCTACCTTAGTCTTTCCCAGTGATTCTGACCATCAGCCAGAATCTACACTGAAGGTCTCCAAAAAAAGTTTTTTTTGATTGTACAAGCCTACAAGTAAAGTGAGGAGGTACTTCCAATATATGTCCTATTTATTTATAAATCATGCAATGTACTGCAGCATTAATGGTTTATATGTTATAAAAATGTACATAAAAGTTTTAAAATAAGGTAAAGACAAAATAAACTAGATTTAAAAAATTGCTTAACTGTTGACACAAAATAACTCAATTCAAATACTATCATTAAAATAATCTGGATAATTAGCTACCATATGTCTTCCTAATCATAGTCTTCACAATACTGCTCATAGTAAGATGCTTTATGTTTATATAAATCCATTATGTAAATAGCCTTTTTGATAATTTTTATAGATCCATTTCTCGTGAGATTAAATTGGGTCCTCACTGTTTTTTTGTTCTGGTTAATCCTCATCTGAGGACATTTTTCCATTGATTTTTTTTTTTTTTTTTTTTTTTAAGATAGAGTGGAAGGAAGGGATGGGGAGAAAGAGAGAGACATATATTGATGTGAAAGTGACACACTGGTTGCTTCCTGCATAACCCTGACCAGGGCCAGGGATGGAACCTGCAACCCAGGTACATGCCCTTGACCGGGAATTGAACTGGAGACCCTTCGGTCCTAGGGCCGACGCTCTAACTGCTGAGCCACACTGGCCAGGGCTCATCACTGTTTTTACACTGTAATGTAGTACTTGTTCTAGGAGGAGAGGGACGTCAGCTCTGCCATTTTCTTTTTGTCACATATTCTATTACATGTATTACATATATACTTGAGTACTTATATTGTATTGCCTTCAATTTGTGTTCCTTTGCCGGAATCATTCCAATTATGCTCATTATGTGAGGGTTTACTTAGTTAAATCTAGATATTATACCTTAGACATCATGAACACATACACAATAAACCTTAAGTGACAGAAAGGTGAGGGTACCCATGCCAAGTCCTCCAACTTGACAACTCCTCCTCTCCCTTCTCTCAGGATACCTGGAGTAATTACTGTAGCTGACACAGAAACCCTGCTAGTGGTTTGTGAAATACCAAGAATTAGTAAAACAAAATCTATTTTTAATGAATAAATAGAAGTTCTACTATTTTCTTCCCATGTAGTCCATTTTCTATGGACTGTCGTGCAACCTCTGGAGTATGGGTAACCTCTGGGGTATGTGTATCATCCTCCTTGGACATTGCTGATTGAGATAACAAAATACATATACGCAAAGCTAAGTGGAACACATAGTACCAGACACTACGCATGTAAGTGAGAAAGCACTTACATGTCACATGATCAAAGAACTCAATAAAGCACCAACTCTAGCTTTGCTCACCCTGTGGTCTGACCAGACTTGCCTCTAAACCACAAGGAGCCCCCATTCTCACCAGGTGAGCTGCTGAGTAGGCATAAGACTCAATTTCTAAGTATACTCCTTTTTTTTCAAACTGTCTCTCATTTGTATGTTTTACAGATGACATACTAATGTTTTATCATTTAAACTCCTACTACTTCAGAAAATGATAAAACTACTACTTCCAGAATGGAAGTATAATTTATATATCAACAAGGAAGGGAATAGCATCTGCATGTTTATTATGGACCAGGTGAGCTACCCATACTACTTATATAATTCTCACAACAATCTATGAGGTTGATAAAATCTGTCCTACAGATGAGTCAGCAGGATTGGGGACAGAAAAGCTTGACCAGGATTAGCCAGGTGTCAGGAGTCGGTTATTATGTTATCTCCAGCAATTCTTATGTAACAAAACTCAGTTCTCTTAAGAGAAAATATTTGAGGTGAAAAGTGTAAGCTGTTTAGCCAAAAACTTCCTTTGGAATCAGGATGGAATACTAGCAAAGAATGTAAAACTAGTCAATAATATCTCCATTCACAGATATAAACTTGTATTTCCTACCATCGGGTTAGAATTTTGCTTGTAATAGTAAATTTGGTGACCAGGGAAGTCACTCATTGGCTACAGGAAGCAAGCCCAAGGCTTAGCTCTTATTGTAATAGTGTCCCAGGGTGTGCTTGTTAAAGAGATTCTTTGCCATGCCAGATTCTAGGGACTCCTCTGTTGCTCAAGTTGGTTATGTGGTCACTCAATTATTTGATGGATTTCACCTGCTCATTCAGGTCATGCATCTCAATTAAGTCACACAAAGAAGGCCATTTTTGTCAGTGGCCAGTTTGTGCAGTTCTAGTAGTGACTGATTTTCCAAGTGTAATACACACTCCACTGTGTTCGGCCCACCCTCCCAGTTGTCACAGTCTGGTTTCTTGATATCCGGAAAGAAGATGTGATTGGCTTTGCAGCTTCATCAATTTCTCAGCGTGTTCCCTCTTTCTCATAAGACTGGTGAAGAAAATATATGGCAAAGTTGTTCAAATCTACATCATCACGGTCCAACCAGTAAGACATGGACAGGTAAAGGCAGGTGGCACAGAGCTCCAGGCTGATCTGAGAGTTAATGGCCTCTGAGTCCTGGTGGTAGTTCTGACACACCTGTACTTTTTCTAGTTTCTTTTATTATTATTATTATTATTTTATTTTAATTTAATTAATTTATTTTTGTTACAATGTTTCTCCTTTGTCCCCCACTGATTCCCCCCTTCTTCTCCCTCCCCACCCTGTCCCCAGCTTTGTTGTCCATGTCCATTGTTCATGCACACATGCATATAAGTTCTGTGGTTTATCTCTCCCCCACTACCCCCTCTTCTGGGGATTGTCAATCTGTACCCCACTTCCACGTCTCTGGGACTACCTTATTCCTCAGACTGTTATGTTCATTATATTCCACAAATAAGTGAGATCATATGATATTTATCTTTCTCTGTTTGGCTTGTTTCACTCCAGGTCCCTCCATGTAGTCTCAAA